GGTGTCGTCCGTATTGTTGTCGACCACCAAAGAGCACTACAGAAGGGCCGCCACTTTGGGTTGTGTTATTCGTGTGTTTAGCGTCTTATTTGTGTTTGTGTGTGTGCAATATGTGTATGTGTGTGAGCACTCGAAGGGGGTCTGGTCATTCGGACTCCGTTCTCCGCTTTTAATTATGCCTTTACAATTTTCAAAGTTGTATTTATCATCTGAATTTGCCGAAACAAGTTTAATATTCTGAAAGCCAAGACTTTGTTTTTTTTAAATCAGATGAAAACAAACTGTAACGGACCCTGCTGTGTTATCTATGATTACTATACGCCTTACATTAATAATTTCAGCGGAGGGAGGGGAAGCGGCGCTGTGGAAAATTTCTGAAAGCCAAGACTTTGTTTATTTAAAATCTTTAAAAAAAACACCCGAAAAAAAAAGAAAAAATTTGAATTTCTTTATTTTCTTTTTTTAATTGGCCCCCGATCTCCGTAGGCCCCTGGGCTTCAGCCCAGGTCAGCCCGTGCATTAAGGCGGCCCTGCATGCAGTGACATGTAATATCCAAGGATTAGAGACTGTGGGATGCGGCTGTTTTGAGCATTGCAATATATTTATTTTCATTATGTTATTTATTTATGATTATTTTTAGGCTCAGCAAAGATTTGTTGTCAGTTTGTATCGGTGTTGCTATCTGCGTGGCTCTACAATCAGACAGTTACAAGGGTCTTTAAATGGGATGTGTGGCGTAGTGGATTAGTGCGTTGGTGTTCGGATCAAGGGAGCACAGGTTCAAACCCCACTGTAGTCAGCATGTCGTTGTGTCCCTCGGTCACACACTTCACCCCAAATTGCTCCTGTGGGGGTTAAAAGTATTGAGTATGTAAGTCGCTTTGGATAACAGCGTCTAACAACTGACATGTAATGTAAATGCAATGAAAACAATTTTTCATTTATATTAAAAATGTAATTTTTACTTTTGAATACTTCAGTACAAGGATGTATTGAATAATGTAAGTGATATATGTGTACACATATAAATCATTAGTCAAAACAGGGCTACATTTGATTGAATTATAAAAGGTATATTTCACAGATAAACCTATTAACCCTGCCCCCTTAACAAAACGGCTCTTTTGAACGGCTCTCGCAAAGGAACGGAGCCATAAGATCCGGTTCCCTTCAAAGAGCCATAATTCCCATCACTATGTGATATTTCTTAAGGGTATGGGGGTTTTCATAGCATTGATGGTGTTTTGTATTTTTTTGGTTTGTTTTGATCTCATTTTATTATGAGGGATTTAGAATGATGAAGGATTTTACTTGGAAAATATTACCCGGAAGTATTACGTTGATCGTTTCCGGCCTATACCTCCATAGCCTTGACAGCAGCGGGGTTGCCGGTGGTTTGAGTAGCAGTGCAAATCCATTAATGAAAAGTCATGGCAGAGAAGGCACAGATACAAGAAGCGATTAAAGTCCAAGGTGAAGTTGTGCGGAAGCTGAAGTCAGAGAAGGCTAGCAAAGAGCAGGTCAGTATCTCAGTGAGGTGTGCTGTGTGCGAGCTGTTAGCATGCCGTGAACAGCATGTCATCTTGGGCTGGAGCAGAGCAGGGATGCTAACAGCTAGCCAGCCAAAGATACCGCTACATACACTAACTGAAGAGCTGACTAGTAACCCGCACTGACCAACACCATTAAACGTACGGCACCTTTTCGGAAAAACTGACCAGGACTGTCACTTCTGCGAAGCATTCACTGTGTTAGCTTACGGTTAAGTGTTTGAATGAAACCCACATGATACAACCTGGCAGATATTTAAACAATACAAAATGTTATATAAGCCTACCGCATCAATTGTAAAAGACCAAACATTTATAAAAACTATCGTGTTGTAGTGTACGGCGCAAGTGAGTCAGTAATACATTGGTCTAAGTTAGGGCCATATGTATACGTATAAACCGAGCTTAAAGAGAAACTTCCAGGTTAAAGACACCTGTGAATAAATGTGTATGAAAATGATGAATACACTAGATTTTCCAAAAAATATACAGAAATATACACTACAGTGACATCTGGCGTCGTTTTTGTAAAAAATGTTCACTTCCGCATAAAAAAGCCTCGGCACGTGACCTCCCGCGTGTGACGTAACACGGGGGACACAAGGGGGAGAGCGGCCGGTGTAACGTATTAATAAACATGGATCCCAATGCTAGTTTCGACACAGAAGAAGTTGAACATGAATATTCGAATGCATATGACGGACCACAACCTTATAATTATGAGCCTGCTAGGTGTCCAAGAGACCAGGAGCAGCCAAGGATTAGAAGAAATAACGGCCATCGGAGAGAAATTGAGCTGTGGTGTGAGGAGAACCAGTGGAGAACTGGGCAGCTATCTTGGTGAGTGACCGGCGTTAGCTACAGAATGTTAGCTAACGTCACATCACAACATTGTAAAGTTAGCTATCATATATCAGGCTATAACTAAAGTAGCATTGATAATATAGTAACGTTACTGGCAGGACTGTTGATACTGATCCATAACAGAAACTAATGCGTAAGTAGTACAGCCGTATCTCGCGTTACCTAATGCAACTCCACACTACGGTGCTGTGTACCGGAGGGGAGACGCGAGATACGGCTGATACTTGACGATCTGGCGGAGAAAGGTTGTGGAGCCTCCGTTGATATGCCGTTGTAAATGGCTTGATGGAAAGCAGGTGTGTAGTCGGGGAGGGTGCACAGCTGATTGCAGCAGGTGAGTGGAGGTTGAGCCGGGAGCCAGGAGTGACAGCAATCACGCCCACACAAACAACACAGACAGGGGGAAACAAACAAACACAAAGGAGACGGCTGGAGCAGTACAGCCACCACAGCATTACCTAATGCAATGTCTTACGGTGCCGTGTACCGGAGGGGAGAGAGAGAGAGGCAGCAAAGGGGGGGGAGAGAGAAGTAATAAGGTTTCCTGATAAAGCTGTGGAGAGTATGTGCTGCAGGGAGGTGGATGCACAACGCACCCAGGAACGAACGCTAGCTCCGGTCCTTTTTACTGTGGACTCGATGTCCTGACAAGCTGGTATTTGTGCAACCTGCACAAACACAATACTGCACCATGATTACAAATGGTGAAATACAATGTAAAACTACCGAAAAATACCAGCTCCTTAAAACACAACCGCTCTACTCAACGCAACTCTACTATACCCGCGGTCAGAGAGCGGAGATGTGTCCCCTGCGTGATGTAATATGACGCGTTTGACGTATGACCTTAAAAAAAAGCCGTTTTTAAGAGCAGAGCTCAAAATTGCTCCTTTCCCTCTGAATTCCTGCCCTTATGTCTCGTAAAACATATCAAATCCTGCATTCACTTTTTTAATTGTAATTTCTAAGCAAGTTTACGCATAGATGTAGAATAAATAAAAACCTGCAAGATGCTCTTTAAAGCTTGGGCCATACTTGACCAGCTATTTGTTCAGCTATCACACCAGCTGCTTAAAATGACTGTATTTCAAGTAGAAGGGACTGCTTCTCACTTTGTCCCTACCAGTGTTACATGATAGCCGATTCGGCTAACTGCTAGCTTTAACATGCTCCAAATGTAATGGCTTACTGCTCCCTTCGGCTTGTCGACTAGCTAGCTATTTTGTTAGTTGATGCAATAATTTACAGGCAAGTGTCATCAGCATGTTCAGGAAACTGTGGCCAGTGGTGGAAAGTAACTAAGTACATTTACTCAAGTACTGTGCTTAAGTACACATTTGAGGTACGTAAGTAACTACAACCATTAGTGGGTCAACACAAAATCAATTTGGAGCAATTTTGCTAAGATGTTTTTTGTAAAAGATATTTCACAGTTCCAGCTTCTTAAATGTTAATATTTGCTGCTTTTGCTTTAAAATATTTAAACAAATTGTATTTTTTTCTGCAATGAGTACTTACTTACTCCCGAGACTTTAAGTATATGTTCCTAATCATACTTAATTACTTTGACTTAAGTACCATTCTCGATGCGGGACTTAGTTAAGAATCAGAATACTTTTTCCACCAATGCCTGTGACCACTTAATCTTTAGCTAATCAGTTGTTTTACGGTACTATACACACACAGTGCAATCTGACAATGTAATACTTTAGTTTGATACTTTATTATCAGCCGGCACAAAGGTAACTAATAGAAATATCCTAGTCTGTACCAGTTTTATCTCAATTTAAGTACTGGTTCCTCCAATAATCTGCCATGCATCCCAGAGGAGGTATCAGCATGTTTTTGAATTTAAAGTGAGATAAACCTCACTTCAAATAAAATGTTAAAACCTTAAAGCATTGACAGAGAGTGCTACAGTAAGTGTTTGCACCATGTTTCTCTGTTACTATTTGTCTAGTTTGGTCTGATTTATTTGCTGTTTTGTCTGACAAAATGTCATTGAGCCCACAAAGGGTCTAACCTCAGGACAAAATTCAGCAAAACAAGCAGTGGTTATGGAAAGTGACAGATGAAAGTTCCATACGCCTTTTTCTCAGTAGACATTTCTTGTTATACTGGACAAAGAACAGGACTTACTAATAACATGGCTGTTATGAAGTCACCACTGTGTGACTGTAAACCAGTTTACACATTACAAGGCCCCTGAAAGTGAAGCAGCTAATTCCACGTTACACCTAAAGTCATCACAGAAGTGTAGTTAAACTTCAAATGTATAGCATATGTGGTCTTCTGGGGTCAATTTTGTAAAATCATTCAAAGAAAATTCCTTTTATAACTCTGATTTTGTGTAAATGAGGTCTCTTGACCATATATTTAAAAAAGAAGAGTAAAACATGTGATAATTAGTAGGTATAAAGTTGCGTTAAAACGTGTAACACAGATTTGATTATTTATACTACATGCTTTATAAATAGTCAAACCGAGAGGACAAAAGTTGATAGTAAGACCACACAAGAGTTAAAATGATACCCCTAAAAACACTGAATGCACTCGACATGTAGATTGGATTTTAGGGTCAGAGCAGCCCCTGTGTTTGTTTGGTGTGTGTGTATGTTTGTGTATGCTGGCTGGCCTCTTTGATTGACTCGCTCTCATGTGATCTCATGTTCTATCCTCCACGCTGTGATGATGATGCGGCGTCATGCCCTGCTCCAGTGATAGGGTTGCTTACCACTTTTCTCCTGTTCTTCCTGCTAACCCCGGATGACCTCGGCCTGCCCCCCCCCCCCCTTCATCACCATCATCTACCTCACTGCTGAACCCAACCCCCCTGGACATCACTGATCAACTCACTTCCTGGATCTACCTCTACCGACCGTTGTGATTGGCTGCTGTGGCTGCTCCTGTACGACACCACTGAACACTGCTGTTCCCATGATGCACTCCTGAACTTTTGCCTGTCCAATTATTGGACTTATTTTTTTCCGGCCATGTTGTGTGTTCGTGCTTGCTCGGGTCTGATTCGGACTGCGATGCGTGTCCGAACTCTGCATTCTTTCCCTGGGATCACTGTGGCTCAGGTAGGCTCATGGATCTGTGTGAAATAAAATGTTGTCAGTTGTTGGGATTGACCGGTGTTTTTACGACTATTGGAATCAATTATTTGTATTCGATTCCTGATCAAATAAATGAATAGAAAAACGTTGTTACTTTGGCTCTGATGCAGCTGCCTGCCCCTCCATCAGCCCTCTGACATCCAGGCAAACTGAGCTGTGTATTTCTCAGACGCTTGACTTTCAATCTTTGAGCAGATTTGAATTTGCTTTAGTTGATCAGTTCAGTATGTGATGTATGTATGAAACCTTGAGTAAGTGTTGACAGTTCTTGTGTGTGTATTACAGATCGATGAAGAGGTTTCCAAACTGCTGCAGCTGAAGGCTCAAATCGGAGGAGATGATGGAAAACACCAGTTTGTTCTCAAGACGGCAAAGGTAAGACGTAGTTCTGCTGCATTCAAACACACAACCAGAGCACTGCAGCAATATGTTGTTAATATGATTTGTATCTCTGAATCTTTAAAACCTATCTGTACATGGAGAAACACATTCCATTTTAAAGGTATAAAGTTGCAATTTGCATGGAAAAAAATACATTTGAAAATTGTATACAGCTAAATGTTTGCAGTGACTATCCATAGATTGTTATTAACTTTCTTTGAAATATCAGAAAAGCACAGAGCACCATCACACTGTTAATGTACTGTAACATAATAACATGTAGCCCTCAAACCCCCCAGCATGGAGGTCTATAACATAACATAGTAGTTAAAGCCCACAAAGCTAACAATGGCTGTCTCACATGCTGTTTACATGAGCTTCCTATCACTAGTATAGTAATAGAGCCGTGACCTTGAAGGCAACATTTCTCCGTTTTACCCGCCGACCTCAGCACTACAACCCTGCTGATCGATGCACGCCTACTTGACAGAGTTCTTTAAAACAATTAAGAAATTCATCGTCACGATTTAAATGCAACAAATGTGTTTCTCTATCAGGGAACGAGGGACTACAACCCCAAGCAGATGGCCATCAGAGAAAAAGTGTTCAACACCATCCTCGGCTGCTTCAAACGCCACGGTGCAGAGACCATCGACACGCCTGTTTTTGAACTAAAGGTAAATGTTCACATCACCGTTCACTCTTGGCAAGCGAAAACATGGCGGCTAACATGAAGAATTGCATGGCTACAGCACAAGCCTGTCTAATGTTGTCCATGGTACCTGTTGACCTTTATGTCAGAATCTATCCTCTCAAGGGCAGGATCATAGAGTAGTGCGGTGATGACGTATTTTTGTGTGCTGACCCTGAAGAAAGCACCTCACTTGTTACCTCAACATAAAACAATGTGATTTGTTGCCATTGGATTTTGGAATATTGCAGAAAACAAGATCTGATATTTTTCATATTAACATCACTTTGTGATTTTTTTTAAAGCATAATTGCATTCTCCAGAAGTAAAAAGCTAACATTAGGCTATAAACAAAATGCATGACTTCACGTCACCACCACTAAGCTATGTTTTAGAAACAGACTTTTTAAAATTCCCCAGTGCTGCGTTTACTGACGTATTTTATGTCTTAGGACATTAGTGATGGGAATTATGGCTCTTTGAAGGGAGCCGGATCTTATGGCTCCGTTCCTTTAAAGGGCCGTTCAAAAGAGCTGTTTTTTTAAAGGGGGCCGGGTTACTAGGTTTATCTGCGAAATAATCACCAGGATAATGATTGACTGTATTGTCAGACCTAATGTCAACAATCTGCATTGTAAACATGACAAAAGGTGGCGCCATATTCATGTCAGTGAATGTATTTTGAATGTAGCCTCCAGCATCCAACTGCGTTTTCGCGTTTGGCTCATTTTCCATCCGAAAAACACGTTGTCTACCTGTCCTGTACCACTTGTTATAACTTCTCTCTCTCGTGTATTCCGTTAAGACCCACCCCATCTCACTCCTCGTGCTGAAACCTGGTGTTCACTCTCTGTCCTAAACGGATTGTTGGAGCTCGCCCCCCCCTGTGAGCCCAGTGTGCTCTGATTGGTCAAGCGACGTGCAACTGCTCGCGAGGAGCTGCTGTGAGGAGCAGACAGGGTTTCCGTGTCGAAGATAGATACAGTCAGANTTCCAATTAAGGAGTTAAATTTCTTCGACTCCCGACATGGTTATTTGCAAGATTAACAAGTTCTTATTGAAGGCACCATCCGTTGATCAGGCACAGCGATGCCGAGGCTGTGTGCGTAACTAAATACATCTAAGAAAATTAAATTTTAATATTTATAATTTGTATTAAGTAGATTATTTTTTTATACTTTTGAACAGACTAGTAACTTAACTACTCTATATGAAGCTGGATTGAACTTAGAGTATTTTATTACCCTAAATACATTGTCATTTTTGTGTCTAAGTGTAATTTCAACACGTGCGTGTATGTCATAAAAGACAAGTTGTGATCAGCCACATTTATGACGGACAACAGACGACACAAGGCTGGAGTTCGGACAACACACTACGGTGTAGTCACGGAAAAACAATCGCATCTGCCACGACGTTTCTGGATGTAGATCCGACGTCACAGTTGTAAAACGAGATTTTACAAGTGAGTCGTTACATAGTCCTCGATCGTCTGCGAACAAATTACAATCTGAGCTGGTTATCGAGTTATATACCTAGTATGGTAACGAAGTATAGTCTCGTCTAAAGCCACCTCGACGGAGGTCGATATCTCCTACTCCGTCTCTCTTTGTCGTCGTCGGACCAACACGTAGTCCATACAATAACGACATCAGTCCACTAAATTTACATAGTGGCTTCCTCTTCAACATGATGTACTATCTTCCCTTGTCAAACTTATTTCATAGTCGGTCACATTGTGACAGTGTAAAAATGAAAAATTTACATGTTATGACACAATACATGCTAATAGTTATTGTTATTAGGTGTCAGGAGAGAGACGAGGGTCTCCCTATTTTTTAGTCTGTGACGGTTCCGTCATTTTGGGATCACCTTTGTGACCTGCAGTTTAGTGTCTTCTGTCTGGTTATGATATAAAACCTGTTGGATCTCGAAACTTCGGTAAAAGTCAATTTCTTAAACATTATGTTGTTTGTTTACGACGTAAACAAAAAACTCATAGTTGTTTAAGAAATTGACTTCTTAACGAAGTCGAGATCCAACAAAGGTTATATTGATGGCCATGACAAAAACACTAAACTGACAGGTCACAAAGGGGATCCAAATGACGGAACCGTCCCAACGACTTAAAAATAAAATAGGAGACCTCGTCATCTCTCTCGACACCTAATAACAATTAACTATAGCAATGTCTATTGTTTCATAAACAAATGTAATTTTTCATTATTTCATGTCACAATGTGACACGTACATAATAGAAAATAAGTTTTGACATAAGGAAGAAAGTAATAGTCAATCGGATGGAAGAAGGAAAGCAACTATGTAAAATTTTAGTGGACTGATGTCGTATATTTGTATGGGACGACGGTTGGGACACGACGACGACAAGAGAGAACGGAGTTAGGAGATAACGACCTCCGTCGAGGTGGGAGTAGACTAGAGACTATACTTTCGTTATCACAATACTAGTATAATAACTCGATAACCACACTCAGATTGTAATTTGTTCGGCAGACGAACAAGTATGTAACGACTTACTATTGTAAAAATCCTCCGTTAAACAACTCAGTGACGGCGATTTTACGGCCATCGTAGTTCGATCGTTTAGGACGTAATCGGAGTGTAGTTGTCCACACTGTCTTGTAGGTTATAGGACTCGATTAAATGACTTATTTGGTTGAGTTTAGAGGAGCAGAAAAAAAAGTGGGTTGAGTAATCTGATAAGAAGACGACCGCAAAGTCTAATGAAGTCAAACGTTAAACCACGATATATATATATAAAAAAAATTATTTTTTTTGTTGTTTTTTTGTGGAACTTAAAGTCCGTCCCGCGGCCCCGAGGGAACCGTCCCGCGCCCCGAGGGAACCGTCCCCGCCCGCCGGGCGGTTCTGTTACCATCCCCTTTGTGACTGACAGGAGTCATCCACAACAGTCGAGTCTTCGTTGAGACGTTCAAAACGCAACGAAGTCCGGAATCTAATTGAACTGGAGTCACACCTACACCAAAACTCGACGACCCAGAGAACAGTGGACAGGAGAACAGAGTAGGGCAGGAGAGAGGAGAGGACGGATAGACGTCCCTTGTGTAATATCGGTCCGTCTCCTCATCCTTTTTCTGCGATCACCCTCCAAATTGGCCGACGCTTTCCCGTCATTGTGAGTCTCCCATCTTTTTGTAGTTGTCCATTTTCCCTTAGAAAGTTTGGACGGAGACTTCCCAAATTACAGAAGAGAAAACCGTCACAAAAGAAAAAGGGACGGTATATGACCACTAAAATGTCTATGAGTCCGGTACCTGAACCCAGCTGTGGTATCGTATTGAAATCTAACAATCGTGGAATATAACCCGTCGTGACAAACTCCCACAAACCTGACGCTCCATTAAATGAGATTCCAATCGTATGAATAGAGTGTTCTAATGATCACAAACTGTCAAATTACTTATTCGGAAATCATGTAAGGGGTCTAATCCGGTATCTATGACTCCCACGTGGACGTACATTGTGTACAAACGTATAACATCATTACACGAGACGACTCGGAGAAAGTACATACGTTCTTTATGTTACAAACGATCCCGTACGGCTAAACTTTTACTATTATTAGGACTTAAATTTTACAACTAATCCAAACCCGTATAACCTCCCTTATTGGTAATAAGTAGTATTAGTAAAATCTTTATATTTTTCTTTAGGTACGTTATAAAACAAATTCTAGATATGGTCGATTTCAATGTGTATAAGTAAAAGTTTATAAATGATAAAACGGAGATGTAATAAACCCGATTGACGCCTAAACCGAGAACGAAAAAGTAGAAAGGTATACACAAAGTTTAATGGAAGTAAATAACACGTTGACATAGCTATTTTGGTAAACTCTTTAATGGCTATGATATTTATGACCATATGAAAAATGGTAGTAATTAATAAAATAAAAATTCCCCAAATGACTATATTATTAAATTCCACCAAATTCCCAGTTCTATAAAAAGAATGAAGACATTAATTGTATTTAATTATGGGTTATGTACGAGGGAAGTTAGACTTGACACCATAGCGGGTTATTCAGAAATTCATGAACGAGTTACAGAGAAAATACCAGAAACGTAAAAATGGATTTAACTTACATCTACATACCGTAATAGTTCGGGTGCTTACAAACCTTTTCGTGGACCCTTGGCAGGGCGCGGGGCTCCCTTGGCAGGGCGCGGGGCCCCGCCAAGACAATGGTAGGGGAAACACTGACTGTCCTCAGTAGGTGTTGTCAGCTCAGAAGCAACTCTGCAAGTTTTGCGTTGCTTCAGGCCTTAGATTAACTTGACCTCAGTGTGGATGTGGTTTTGAGCTGCTGGTCTCTTGTCACCTGTCCTCTTGTCTCATCCCGTCCTCTCTCTCTCCTGCCTATCTGCAGAGAACACATTAATAGCCAGGCAGAGGAGTAGGAAAAAAGACGCTAGTGGAGGTTAACCGGCTGCAAGGACAGTAACACTCAGAGGGTAGAAAAACATCAACAGTAAAAGGGAATCTTTCAACCTGCCTCCTGAAGGGTTTAATGTCATTCTCTGTTGGCAGTGTTTTACTTTTTTCCCTGCCATATACTGGTGATTTTACAGATACTCAGGCCATGGACTTGGTCGACCCCATAGCATAACTTAGATTGTTAGCACACATATTTGGAGCACTGTTTGAGGTGTTTGACTGCGAGGTATTTACTCTAAGGTTAGCATACTTACTTACAAGATTATCAGTGTTTGACAGTTTAATGAATAAGCTTTAGTACATTCCCCAGATTAGGCCATAATACTGAGGTGCACTGCATGTAACACATGTTTGCATATTTAGTAATGTGCTGGCTGAGCCTCTTTCATGATGCAAGAAAATACAATGTTTGCTAGGGCTGCACGATTTGAAAATGAATACATAATTCACTAATATTAAAATGTTGATAGGATTTGCAATATTGGAGGGAATAACCATTATTCACAT